ACAAAAATATCAAAGTGACTCATCAATGAACCAAATGGGGGCTTTTTTCCTTCACTAGCTGATCATAACAGATCAAACATAGAGGTATCAACTGAAAAGGGGGTATTTGAACAACAATAGCAGATGACATGGGAGACCAGGCTCCCTGCTCATGCAGCTTGTTTGTGCCCTCTCGTTCTGCTTGTGTTCAATCCTGAATGTACCACTTTCACCTTGATGGATTGTTCCTCTGCTTGCTCAACCTTATAACATGGTTGATCCATCAGAAGAAAACTGATGAAGGACAGCAGTGGCTACAATGTCACTTGGTACCTCAGTGTCAGGCATTCTCTCTCTCTCAGGGCACAGCAGCATGCCAGGAGCTGCTCTGTTAAAGGGAGATAAAGCTCTGCTGCATAGTCTGCCATGCTCCAGAACCCTACAAATGACACTGTCTCTCATTGGAACTTGCCATAAATTCCACATATCTATTGGGTTGGCCAAAAAATTCGGTTTTTTCCCATGAGATGGATCTAGTATCACTTAGTTGTCTTTAACTTCATTCGGAACAATTTTGTTAGATTGTATTGTGACAGATGTCATATCAGCGTGCATTTAAAAAAAACTTATCAAAATTGGTGAATTTTTGTGTATCCATTTTAATATTGAAGATGAAAGAAAATAAGCAACATGTTCAGCATAGTATGCTTTATTATTTCAAAAAAGGTAAAAACACAACTGAAACACACACAAAAAAAGATTTGTGTAGTATAGGGGGAGGGTGCTATGGTTGATGGAATGTGTCCAAAGTGGATTGCAAAGTTTTGTGCTGGGAATTTCTCACTGGATGATGCTCCATGGTTGGGTACACCAGATGAAGGTGATAGCAATCAAAGTGAGACATTAAATGAGATCATTATACCACGCAGGAGATAGCCAACATACTCAAAATATCCAAATCAATAAAGTTATAGGTGGAGATTTTTTAAATGTGTCTTTTTTTATGGAAAAAACTAAAAGGATTTTTTGGCCAACCCAATATATATTCCATACTTTGTCTTTTCCCACCAGTGATCCCTCTAATACTAAAACAAATGGCACTATAGCCCATGTGCAATAAAGAATATCACAATTTTTCTGAGTTTTAGCTAGTGTATCTTGAACACAAATATATTTTTATTTTCCTTGACTCTAAATGTTTTTACTCAATCCCTTTGTTCAAAGTTTTTCCATAAGTCATCTAATTTATGGGTCAGTAGGGGAGCTTAAAAAGTGGCCAGAAAAGTAGAGGGAGAGCTCACTTCCTTTGGGGATTATAATAAATTGAATAAGGTCCCCACCCACCAAAATATAGCAATGGGTTCTAATCCCTAAAAGCTATGAATTTACTCCCTATGGAAAAAAATGTTGTGGTTGTAATTAAGGATCTGGGTGAGCCCAAAATGCAATTACATGTATTTTTATAAGAATGAAACAGATGGAAAAAATATACAGAAATGGAAGAGGCAGTGTGACTATGAAGGCAGAGACTGAAGTGGTGCAACCACAAGCCAAGAAATGCCAGCAGTCACCAAATGCTGGCAGAAACTGGAGCGAGCAAGAAACTGATTCTCCCTTAGAGCATCTGAAGAAAGCATGGTCCAGAACTGTAAAAGAATGTATTTCTATTGTTTTAAGCCATCAAGTTAGCAGCAATAGGTTGTTACAGCAGCCCTAGGAAACTACTATAACAAAGAAAAATTTTATGGCATACATAGCCTTTGGAGAATAGAGATGGAATGTACATATATGATGATTGGATAGAAGAAAAAAGAAAAGGAGAAAGGAAGCTGAGCATTACAGATAAAAGAAAAAGGCAGTAAGACAGGAAATCAAGTAAGTTGTACAAGTAAAAAACAAAGTAGTTCAATTAACAGGTGTCTATGCTAGTTGAAAGTAAATAGTGGTAAGATTGCTAAAGACATTGTATGCTAACTTAAGAAGTTTGAATTTTAATCTAAAAAAATTTAAACTTTAATCAGTAGTCAAGGTCCTCTGCAGTTGGTGAACACGAAATGTTATGTGTTTGAGTAATGGAAGTGGGAGTCTGGGAGGAGGAAACAATATGTTAAGTCCTTTGTATACTTATGAGGTCTGTCTGAAAAAAGTCCGGCCATTGTTAACATATTGAGAACAGTTTGTGCAACTTCCACGTAACCTGGGAGCCAAGGAGAGTGTACTGGAATGTGCATGCATGAACAATGATGACTTCACTGTATTAGTTAGTAGGAGTGGTGGACACCACTGAGTGAGCATGTGTACTGTGTGACTGTCGCAGTCAAAATGATTGAGAGAGTAGATCAATGAATCTGCATCAAATTTTGCATTAAGCTTGAAAATTTCTCTGTGGAAACCATTCAGATGATTCAGGAGGCTGCAGCTATGGGCAACTGGTGATTGGCAGCTTCACTGTGACAACACACCTGCTCATGCAGCACACCTTGGGCAGAGTTTTTTGGTGAAACATCAAATCACCCAGGTGACTCAGCCCCCCTACAACCCAGGTTTGACACCCTGCCACTTCAGGCTTTTCCCAAAACTAAAATCACCCTTGAAAGTGAAGAGATTTCAGACCTGTGATAAAGACTCGAGAAAATATGATGGGGCAGCTGATGGCAATTGGGAGAACTGTGAGGTCCCAAGGTGCCTACATTGAAGGGGACTGAGATGTCATTTCCTATGTACAATGTTTCTTGTATCTTGTATCTTCTTCAATAAATGTCTCTATTTTTCATATCATGTGGCTGGATTCTTTATGGACAGGCCTTGTATGTCATAATATTCTTTAACTTTTAAAAAGTTTTTTTCTTTTATTGATTACAGAGAGAGGGGAAGGGAGGGGAGAAAAGAGGGAGAAAAACATCAATTGGCTATCTCTTGCATGCACTCCGAATGGGGACCTAACCAACAACCCTGGCACATGCTGTGACTGGGTTCTGAACCCTTGACCTTTCAGTTTGCAGGACGACCCCCAACCAAATAAGCCACACCAGCTATTCTTTAACTTTTTATTCACCTCCTTCCACCACAAGGCTTACAGGTTAGAAATGACTTTCCCCAAGACTGAGCAAAACTTCTGGCATATTTGTATGATTAATCATTCTCAGAAATAGAGCTTTGAATGTGAATCCTGGCTCCTTGTTGCAAGTAAATGAAACTACCTAAGAACAACTACACCTCATTCTTGAATAGAACATCCAAAGTGATGAACCCCTTGAGTTCACTACTAGTGTGATTAAGATGATTTTATTTTAAAAATATTAATAGTGAAAATATGAGAAATTTGGGCTCTGTGTGACTAACTCCAGAAACTACCTCAGAACCAGAATAGCAATTCTAGCCAAATGCAATCATTTAGTGGAGGTTGTCTGGAGCAGAGCTGACAAGCAACGAAGGCTTTGTACCAATAATAGGTTAGCAGTGTCTGCTAAAGTGTTGCATTGGGAGTAGATGTTCAAATGATTTGTGCTTCTCATTCTCCATAGCTCCAGAAATTAGTAATCTAGCTTTTTAAAAACTTCATTTTCATGTTCTCCTATGTGACATACAGAAATCAATCAATCAATCAATCTCCATTTCAGTGGAGGTTTCCATTTACTTGAGCATAGCTAATTAAAGATTTCCTGCATTCAGGTAGAAAAGAAACCTAGGTTGTAGGAGACAGAGGGTTGTTCTGCTTCCTGTATTCAATGATTTCAGAGTGCTACTATTCTGGCTGGAAAGGGAGGGCATATTCAACCGCTTCCCTCTAACAATAGTCCATGTTTTGAAATACTGAGGAGGGAGGGACTAGGAGAGAAAGAAAACCAGCACATTGGTGAGTGGAACCCCTCATGGAAAAAAAACAAAAAATGGAACTCGAAATACCGAACTCTAAAGTTTACCCTGGAGGTTTTGAGACTGGACCCTGAGAGAAGCTAAACACCAGTAACTGAAAATGAGATCAAGGATGAAGTGGAGAGGACAATCTTCCGTGACCCTGTGTAGGTCCCACAGCTAATGTGAGTGGTGCCTTTTAAAGTTTTAAAATATAACTCATGAAACAAGGTATTGTAAACACAAACACTGTCACACAAGTTTTGTTATCCTTGTTGCTGTTGTAGGGACGGTATATGTAGAGGACGCAGCCTTTTTTGTAAAGGGGCGAGGGAGGTTCCAAGTTGTTTACAGCCCACTCCAGTGACCATTTTTGCAGAGGTCGAGAGGAGTTCCAGGCCACTGTGGACGGTTCTCCAAAAGCTCTTAAAACTGCGCCTGGGTCTTGGATATACAAACCTTGTAGCAAAATGCGGTAGAAAATTCTGGAAGTGCGCCGGACTAGGAAAGGCGACAGCCTCGCTCTCAGACAGCGCACTAAACCACCACTCCCACTACGCGCAGGCGCACTCCGGAGTCTAAAGAACGTACACAAAACTTAAGTACTGAGCAGGTGCTAGAGAATTAACCACGCCTGCGGAAGACGCTCTTACGAGAGGGACTGCTTGTGTGATTACTATCGTTTTCATCTTTAAAGACCTCGATCGTCTGGAGCTGTGCTCTGATTCATTTTCCTCCTCTCTTGTTGGAACTCGCTTTGCCTAAAGTAAGCACTAAGCGTTGCTGTTTGGGGATAAAACTTGATTAAAGTAAACACGCTACTCTTAGAGGCATGTTGCCTCCTTTAAGCAATCGGTCCTGACAGATATGAAAAGTAAAATGGCATATTACAGCGAACATTTACAGTCTGCCAACTCATTTACATGGAAAAAAAATCACTTGAAAGGGTACCCTACCTTTTCCATATTATGTGCTTCATAAGACCTAGAAGACGTTTTACGTTCCCATGCCAGTGACAATCGTGCTTGTGTTTATCAACAAGGACCTGAAGTAAGGAGCAGCGCATGCGTGATCCACCCGAAGACAGCGTAGCACGTGAGAGGTTAGCGTACTGACGTCTTCCGGTTGTGCTCCGCGGTGGTTGTGGACCTGGCTTCTGGGCTGGTGCCGGCGCCGGCATGGGGAAGGTGAATGTGGCCAAGCTCCGTTACATGAGCCGGGATGACTTCAGGGTTCTGACCGCGGTAAGTAGTTAGCCGTTTACCCTTTAACCCTTCCCTTTCCCATGTGTGTCCTGTTCCTGGAAGTTTTCTGGGAGCAGAGGGCAAACTGGGCACTGGTACGCGGTTAAGGTTGGGAATGTGGAAAAGACCGGAGAGTCGGATTTTTCAAAAGCTTTGGTTCGGAGGCTTTTATCGACCCCCAAACGTAGACAGCAGAAGATCCTCTTGTAATTATTTCCTTCTATTTCTTGTGCTTCAGAGCCACGCGCACCCTTGTGGCCCGGGAAGTAAATCTAACCCTGGGCTTCCGACCATCTGAAGAGTTAAAGCTCCTAAGGAAAATCGATGACATTGAGTTCCCCACGCACAGACTCAGTCACGTAGCATTCCTTCCTATTCACTCAGTCAACACATTTTCCGGGTTTTTGCTAACAATTTTAGGGAATTCAACAGGGTTTAGACAAGTCAAGGGAGACAGGTAACCTGTAAGTGAATAAATAAATAAGGATAAAATCAGTAACTGCTATGAAGATGAGAAAGAGGATAATAGAAATCATGACTAGTGGGGGTAGGAGCATGAGTGCTATCTTTAAGTTGTGTAAGCAGAGAAGACACACTGCTGAGTGCAAGAATCTTGTCTGTTAACTGTTGTAACCAAAGTTTTAAGGATTTTTTTTTAAAAAGTTCCTGGCACTTGTTAGAGATTGCATAAATATTTGCCAAGTAAAAGAAAGAATGTGAGGATAATAGAAGCTGAATGAGAAGTAGCTAGCTAAATGAAGTCCTTGGAAAAAGTTGGAGACGGGAACAGCAGTAAGAAGTGAAGTGATTCTGAAGCAGGAACAGTTTTTGAAGATGAAAAGGCCATTGCAGCTGGGGCATTATGAGCAAGAGGCTGAATGGCTGGGGATGTAACTGTAAAAGGTGAGAGCCTGATCAGGCTTACTAAGGGATTTGGAGTATACTCTAGGTGTAGGGAAGCCACTAAATTTTTCCAAGAAAGAAATGATAAAAACTTAATTTATAGTCTTAGTCTTATGGCACAAAAAGGAACACATAGATGGGCATTTGTGGAATGAAACAGTAAATTTATTTTAAGAGCTATTTTCTTTTTATTATAGGGATTAAACTGTCAAATGCAAATTTAATATGAAATTTGGAAGACACTTTTCTTTGTCCTCTGATAGATCTTTATTTCAGCTGGACTTTACCTACTGGCACTTTTGAAAGATACATTCCTTTTCCACTTCCTCAGTACATTCACTCATTCCTCAATGAAGTGATTTTCAACCTTTTCATCTCATGGTACACATAAACTAATTAGTAAAATTCTGTGACACACCAAAAATATTTTTTGTTAATCTGACCAAAAATAGGCATAATTTTGATTCATTCACACCAGACAGCTATTGTTATTTTGGCTGATTTTTTTTTTTTTAATTTGACAGTTTAAAGGAAAAATGTCAATGACCCTGACTGAATAGTCAGGTATTGCATGTTTTAAAAATTCTTGTGGCCTACCAGTTGGAAAAGCACTGCATTAATGCCTCTGACAGAAATAAGAGAGTCAAGAGGAAGAAATATCAGAGGCTGGGAGAGGTGGGACAGAGCATGGAAGACACGTTTAAAAATGTGAGATTTCTGTTGAGGCATCAAAACGGTGTCAGATTTATCCTTTAAAACTTTGTCTCTGCAATATTTAAGTTCTTTTCTGAAGCTCATTAAGGAATGACCTCAGAGTACAAAATTTCAATCTCAGTTGAGTCTCACCGACATTGGTACTGGTGGCTGCCTTTCCTTGACGCTTTTTTCCCTTTACTTCTCTAGCATGTCCCCTATTAATAATTATACTTTTACTGGACACTCTTGCCTGATGAGCATATCCACTTTACAGTTTCCTCATTTACCTTTATCAAATGATTGACCTCCCCCCCCCCCAAATTATGGCTTCACTCTTGAGTGTAGACATGTCTTTCCAATTTTCTTTAAACATCTTCATTTGAAGGACCTTCCACACCTCAACTCACTGTGCACAAATCAAATTCATTAGCTTTGTTTACCCCCTCCTTTCCTAAACTTCATTAAAATAAATATTATTATTATTATTATTATTTTAAAACTTGCTCTCCTTCACTTAAGCTTTGATTCATTTCCTTTCCCCTCCCATTTCAATGCCAATCCCATACTGTCTTCCGTTAAAACTACCTCTTCCCTGTTACGGCTGTTTCCTCTGGCCTAGCCTGTCTGCTTAGCTCTTCAGTATACCGCCTCCAGTTTTTGCTTTCTCTAAACCACTTTGCATATTCCTGCTAGATTAATGTTCTTAAAACAACTGTTCATGCATCTTCCTTGGCTGAATATCTTCAAGAGTTTCCTACTTTTCTCCGTATAAAATTTAAAACTCCTTTATCTGCATTCAAGTCCTTACACATATCTTACTTAAAAGCATTTTCCAGCCTTTTCTTTTCTCATGAACTCTTCTTGTCATTCCTGTCTGAGCTACCATTGTAATAGCTGTTGCTTTGTTCTGTACTTTCTTGTGTATGTGCCATAGCCAAATCTTTTTTACTGTCTGTCTTTGATATTCCCTTATCTGCTTTTTCTGTAATCCCGTATCTCTCAAATTCAGTCTCAGGACCTGCTACTTCCTTGAAACTGGTCCCTCAACTAGAAATATTCTTATTCTGCCCTCAGCCACCTCTTTTTTAGTACTTATCATTCTTACTTCCTAATAGAATTAGATGTGTACATTCTGATTTCCACAGGTAGGTAATATCTCCAAGGGTAGACATTATTTTTGTATATTTTTTTAACCTCTTAAAATACCTACATATGATACTTTCTCATTAATAGTCTCTTAATATCTACAATACCTGTAGTCTTTAAAGACAAATATTGGGATGTCAATAAATATTTTAGTGTTTACCACACATCAGTAAGTATGTTAAGCACTCGTATTCTTTACCCTTGATGTATGTATCATTTAGTAGAGAGATAAAATATGAATATGAGTGATTATGTATAAAACTGATTGAAAATATACCAAGAAGGTAGTACCTATGTCTCAGAATTGGTTGGGGAACTGCATGGTGAGAGGTTTGAAGGAAATGTTACTTTTTAAGCAAAGTTTTGACAGACAGCATCTCTGTTGATTATAATTACATAATTTTTTCTTTAATTTCAGGTTGAAATGGGCATGAAGAACCATGAAATAGTTCCCTGCAGTTTGGTTGCTTCTATAGCCAGCCTTAAACATGGTGGCTGTAATAAAGTTTTAAGGGAATTAGTAAAACATAAACTCATAGCTTGGGAGCGTACCAAAAGTAAGTATTTGAAGCACCATTTGTGATTTTTCATTTAACTGGCTTCCCCCAGAGCAGGCTTCCCAAAAGGCAGGAAATGGAAGTGGCCAGGCCAGGAAAGCGCTAACCCTAGAACTGACACAGCGTGCTTCTATGGTGTTCTAGAAGTTAGAGCAAATCACAGGACCCACCCAGATAAAAGAGGGTGGAAAAATAGTCTGCACCTCCTGATAGAGGTCCAATTACAGAAAAGCAAGTAGGATAGAGATAGTGATGTTGCCATCTTTGGAATATGCAGTCTGCCACAAGGCTCTAGAATATTACTACTCAAACCATTTATGGTGAGGGAGGAGTTTGTTGAGTTTTTTTTTTTTCAGCCTATCATGGATCCATACTTTTATAAAATAACAATAAAAAACTAGAAAAAGGAAATAAACATCAAATGTAGGCACAAATTCCATATTAGAGTTGAAGATATAAAATGACTTGGTCAAATTAATATAAAAATTTTTTTAACTTAACCACATCAGATCAGTTTCTGTATCTTGTCACAGACTAGTAACATAGACTCGTGTAAGTCTGTGGGTCACACTTTTGAGTAACACTGCTCTAGGGAAGAAACAAATTATAGGAAGAAATGCTAACTTGTAAAACTGGGTAACTAATCTTTTCCAACGAAGACTTCCCCATGTCTAAATTCTTCTCATGTCTTGAACTGATATGACTTGGTGATAGCTAAAATCTGATCTTTCTCGTTTGCTTTTGTCTAGCTGTCCAGGGCTATCGGTTGACAAATGCAGGTTATGATTACCTGGCTTTGAAAACACTTTCATCTAGACAGGTAGTTGAGTCTGTTGGGAACCAGATGGGTGTTGGCAAAGAATCTGGTAAGTGCTAACAGTTCTGTTGAACGCCTTTTTTTTTTTTTTTTTTTTTTTGCACTTTAGTTTATATTCCCTTTGAGAAAACATTTGCCTTTTAGTTTATTTTCCAACTAAACAGTAAATTAAAGAGTTGTTTGCAAATAATACCGATTATGAAATTACCGTTAGTTGTGGTAGTTTATTATTTTGTCATAAGTCTGTCATCAAAAATTAAGTATACCAAGAACTAGTTTTCCTCTCATAACTGAAATCTTGGGCAAATATTTTATTTGCTCTTCTATCTGATAAATTGGATATTTGTAATAGTTGAAATATGTAACACAAGGAAGTACTAGAAGACTGAATATCTGAAAACCACAGACTTTTTTCACAGCAATGTGATCAACGAGGCAAAATTAGGTATGTGTAGAACACAGAGCAAAGCATTCTAATATAACAGTGAACAAATGGTTACGTGCTTTCTCTGTGGAAGACAGGTAGAAATAAAGAATAGGGAATGATATTCTTCATGCCATACCCTCTGGTACACTCTTTTTTTATCCAGTATAGTTTATCTTACATAGTTAAGTTGTTTATCTGGACTGAGGAAGGAAAATTAAAGTTGGGAGAAAAAGAATTATTAGGAAACCTACTCCAAAGGAGGTTGTTATGTACTTCAGATGGTATGTTTTCTGTATTAATATGCAGATTATGGCATATATCTAATAATACAAAAGTGCTAATTATGACAGTGTTACAGCAGAGAGAGAGAGAGAGAGAGTGTGTGTGTGTGTGTGTGTGTGAGAGAGAGAGAAATATATAAATGAGATAATGAAACACCTTTTAGATACACTTCCTCTAATGGCCTTTTTTTTAAGAGGTTCATTGCATACAAAATGATAAATAGTACAAAAGAGTACAATGAAAAGGAAATCTCCTAACACAGGTCTCAGTCTCCTGTTATTTCTTTTCAAAGTTATCATTGTTTATTGATGTCTTTCATAATCTTTCTAGAAATTTTTTATGTAAATACAAATATATAATGTACTAAGGATACATGTATATACAGTCATATATCTTTTTAATCTCAGGTGAAAGCAAACAGTACTTAAAACTGTTCGGCACATTGATTTTTTTCCACACACTGCATCCCTGCTCTTCCACATCAGCAAATTTGTATTTGTCTTTCTCTTGGTTGCTGAGTGTTAAATTGTGTGGATGCTCCTTTATTGATTTTACCAGTCCCAGTTGTTACAGACATTTAGGTTACTTCCAATCTTTCTTTTTTGTAAGGTGGTCAACACTCTGGTACAGATGTCTCTGCACAAATAAATGTGTAAATATATTCTTAAAAATTAAGTACTCTTAAAAGTTTGATATTATCAAATGTCGTCCTAAAGGTACCAATTTATAATCCCCACCAGTGTAAAAAGAGCCGTTTCTTGATAATTAAAGTAATAAAGTTTCCCATGAATAATTAGGACATGTTCTACTTGTAAGTATTGCAGATAGCAACATATTTTGATAGTTGGAATACTTGGGGAAGATCTCCATTCTTATAATAGGGTTATATTCTAACAACTGGGTATACATTGAAGCAATTGAAGAGATGAACTTCTTGTTTTTGAGAAGGAAGTTATTATTAAATCATTTCTTGTATGTAAAGGACACTAAGGAACAGTTAGATATTTTCCCATTAAATCGAGTTGAGCATTGAGCACCTTTGGAGGCAACTTTTAACATATGTCATTTTGGATTGTGATTAAATAAAAGAATTTTGCTGAATAATAAATATTCCAGGTTATTAGGAAAGATAAAAATTGATACAAATAAAGACAAAGAATTGTTTCAATCTATTGGCATAAAAATGTAATACTGATCTTTTAAAATCTTGGCTCTAGATATTTATATTGTTGCAAATGGAGAAGGGCAGCAGTTTGCATTAAAGCTTCACAGACTGGGAAGAACCTCCTTTCGAAATCTGAAAAACAAGCGTGATTACCATAAACACAGGCATAACATGTCTTGGCTTTATTTATCTCGTCTTTCTGCCATGAAAGAATTTGCCTATATGAAGGTATTTTTTAAATAATTTTTCAGTTTGTAACGAAATAATGTGATTGTCTCACCAATGTGTATGTATGAATTTATAGTTAAACTGTACATATGTCTATTTCTAATTGAAAACACCAGATAATTACTGTTTGTAGAAATCTTAGTGTCTTCAATGAGTTGACTAGTATTTTTATTTTGCATAATAGAAGAAATGCCAGTTAAAAATTTTTATGTATGTTAGAAAGTAAAAATGTTTATTTTTTAAATTTTCATGACTTCAAAATTCAGCATTAATTTATTAAATATTTTAATAATTGAATACCTTCAATAATATTTAAATTAAACATAAAACAACATTGCATTTTTACTACACTCTCAGTAGGATTTATTTTTTATAACTTTAAAAAAAATTTAATTATTAAAATTCATCCAGGGTCTGACCAGTGTTTCTTGGAAGTTGCAGGTCATGTTCTTTTAAGTAGGCTATTTTAATTCATGTGTGTAAATTTTTAGTGATTATGGGGGGAAATTCTCAATACAGTATAAATGTACTGATACCATATATGTTATGCATTTCTTGTCTTACACTAAAGGTTTATAACCTACAATAGTCAAATCAGTAAGTTGGCAGTTTGGTAGGAATCATTACATATTTTCGCAAAACTATTAGGTGTATTCTCAAGATGTTTATACGAAGGTACAACAGTAGACTTGGTTGTGCTTAAATATACTTCTTAAATGCACTGATATTTTCCTAACAGAATAAGATAAAATTGAGCTATAGCTTAAGGGTTAAGCTATGGCACACTGGCTAGACCACTGTGACAATAGTTAAGGTTAGTGTATGCTGTTGAGCTGCCAGGGCATAGTCAAAATCACTTGCATTAGAAAAAAATATATTTTTAAGCCAAGCAACCAATCTTTGGGGAGTGGAAGTCATTCACTTCTTGTCCAAAGAGAGCAGGAAATAGAGTACACAGTCTTTTAAAATTAACCCTGTTAATAAATATGTCGAGTCAACCCCTGTATTAAGTACTAGGGTAGCGTGGGGTATAAGGATAGATACCAAAGGAATAACCAATACAGCCTGTGTCTTAAAGTTGGGAAGATAACACGAACAACACACATAAAATGAAGAACAGTTCAAAAATCAAATTATATGTATTCAGAGATGCTTCTGTAGAGTAGAATAGTTGATGAAGGAAGTTCATGAAGTGAGTGGGATTTGGGCACATTTATGAAGCATGCATATGATTTGGCTATAAGGAAAAGGCAGTGAAACTGTCCTTTGCAGAGGAACCACTTGGGGTAAAGACATGAGTGTGGGTGTAAGCTCTGTATCTGGGTTTTAGTCACCGAGATGACTATCCTGATTACACTCCAGAATGTTTATGGGAGCGTGTTGGGAATAGTAGGGCAGGTTAGGTAGGTTAAAGAGAGTTTTGGTAACTTGAAAAACTTCAGAGTAAAATCAGTATAGTCATTGTAGATTTTTATTATTTATTTATTTTTTTACTTTATTGGAGTGACATTGAACAAAATCATACAGGTTTCAGGTGTACAACTCAGCAACGCATCATCTCTACACTGCATTGTGTGTTCACCAATCCAAGTCAAGTAGCCATTGTAGATTTTTTAAATGGAGCATCGACAGGAGCATCTTATCTTAGTTTGCTTTTGGTACACAGAGTAGAGGTTAGGTATGGTGGCAAGAGCTAAACCAGTATTGGAGTAATTCTGTATAAGTGACAGCGGCCTTCCTAGAAATGATGGCATTTCAAATGGCAGAGGTCATAAATCTAACATTCTGGAGGAAGTAATAATAGGACTTCATAAGCAAAGATAGAAAAACTTAAGGGAAAAGATGAATCTTTGGATGATTTTAAGTAACGTTTGACTCTATATATATTTGTTATAATAGTTTTATAATGTATATTTGTTTGAAGAAAAGGTCAGTGCTCTATAAACTAAAATGCCTAATCTGTTGGAATATTTCATTACCTAATATGTTAGAAGACAAAGTACTTTTTTAAATCATAACTTTTTTTTTTAAGCACACTCCAATAAATGGCAGAAACTTACAGAAGTATAAAGGATATATCACAAAGGCAGATACTTTTTCACACTCACATTTGTAGCCCTAGCACAGTGGATAGTATTTAGTAAATGTTCAATAAATGAGTATTTGGTGAAGAAGTGAATTAACTAAACTGGTTTAAAATATTTTTATGTACAGCTCATTTTATGCTGTGAATAAACCATATATAAATTATCATGTGTTGACTGTAATTTTGTAAAGGTTTTTATGTTTTTCTTCTGGTCGTGAGCAGATAGACTTACTTTTATTGTTCTTTAAAAATCAATGACCTCTTCATTAGTTTATACCTGTTTGTTATGTTTTAGGCATTGTATGAGAGGAAATTTCCAGTTCCAAAGCCAATTGATTATAATCGCCATGCAGTGGTCATGGAACTCATAAGTGGCTATCCTCTGTAAGTACTTGTTACTACTGAAACCATGCCTTCCAGTAAATATAAGGTTTAGTTTTTAGAAGTAAATTTTTTTTAAATTAAATGGAATATTGTTTCTGAGAAATTAACATATAACAGTAGGCAAATTGAGACTGTAGTTTTATTCTAACAGTACATATTTTGTAATCTCTGTGATTCATTCAGCAAATATTTATTAACAATCTAATATGTGCTGAGCACTGTTCCAGGCTCAGCAGTAAACCCAGTCTCTGCCCGCACAGAGTTTACATTATCATGGAAGGAAGGAGACATACAGTAAATAGCTAAACAAGAAAACACAGGATGGGACAAAAGGAGGTTTACAGTTGTTTGTATGGAAAATAATAATAACACAAGAATAAACTATACCCTGGCTGGTGTGGTTCAGTTGGTTGGAACGTCATCCATAAACCAAAAGTTCACAGGTTCAACTCTGGTCAGGGCTCATGCCTAGGTTGCAGCTTTGATCCCTGGTCGGGGGCATGAGAGGCCACTGATCAATGTTTCTCTCTCCCTCCCTTTCCGGAAACCCCTCTCCAAAATCAGTAAGCATGTCCTGGGAGAGGATAAAAAGTAATAATAAATAAAAAGATAAACTGTGTTTCACATACTTGCAACTGGAAACCTACTCTTACCCCATCCTGTATATATCAGATGGTAATAAATGCTGTGGATAAAAGTAAAGCATGGTAATGGGGACCAGAAGGACTGAGGTGGGTCTAGGAGGCTACTATTTTCCATGGGGTGGTCAGGAAAAGTCTCACTGATAGGAATCCTGAAAAAAATGAGAGGAAACCATGCAGATATCTAAGAAGCTTCTGGGCGCAGGGAATGGCAGGTGCATAAGCTGTGGGCTGGGAGTATACCTGCGTGTTCAGGGAACAGCGAGGTGGTCAGTGTGCTGGAGCTGAATGAGTGAGGGAGAAATTGTAAGTGGTAAGATCAAAGGGGCAGCAGGGGACCAAATCACTTAGGGTTTGTAGATCATTGCAAGGTCTTTTAAATTTTCTTTTTGAAATATATTTTACACATGATACTGTATAAATTAAGGTATACAGTATGTTGATTTGATACTTTTATATATTGTAATGTGATTGTCATTGTAGTGATATTTTTGCACAAGGACTTTTTAATTTTGATTGAGATAAGCCATTGGAAGGTTTTGAACTGAGAAGAGACATGACCTGACTAATGCTTTGGTAGGATCCCTCTGGCTGCTGTATTGAGAATAGACTAAAAGGAGACAAGAACAGACTTTGGAAGACAGCTTAGGAGATTGTCATGATCCAGTCAAGAGACGGTGTTAGTTTAGATCAGAGAGATGGCAAGGTGACAAAAAGTGGTTAGATTCTGGATATGTCTTTCTGAAGAGCCAGCATAATTTCATTTGGGATTAGATATTGATACGAAGGAAGATGTGAGTCAAAAGTGACAACCAGGTTTTGGACCCGAATGATAAATTAATTGGGGTAGGGGGATAAAGTTCATGTTTATGGATGAGCTGGAAAGACTCAACAGCAGTGTTAAGGTAGAGGGTGGGGCAGAATCAAAGTTACAGTTTGAGACATGATAAGTTTGAGATGAGTATGAGTTCAGAGAACTCTACGTTGAAGTTAGTATATATGTAGTATTAAAAGCCATGAGCCTGAAATCTCCAGAAATGATTTTAAGGGGCCCTAGGATTAGCTTTTGAGGAACTCCAAAATTTAAAGGTCAGGGAGAAGGTAAAGAATTAGCAAAAAAGACTAAGAAGAAATGATCATTGCAGAAAGGACAGCCTAAAGAGTTGGCATGCCAAGAGTCAAGTGAAAGAAGTATTTCAAGGAGGGGGAAGAGGTTAACTGGCAGACCAAATATGATGAAGACTGAGACATTGACCATTGGATTTAGCAAAACAGAAGTCACTGATGGTCTTGACCAGAGTTATTTTATTGAAATAAAGTGAATGAAGAAAGCCTGTTTGAGATGGTTCATTAGAGTGGAAGGAAAAAATTGGAAAAAGCATTTGTAGAGACCTTGGACTGTAAAGAAGATCAAAGAAAGGACGTGACAATGGGAAGAAGATACAGAATCAAGGCAGGACGTGGCTCATTTTTACAATAATAATGGACGCTGTTATGTTTGTATGCTGAAGGAAATGAAAAAACTGCTAGGGAGACAAAGATGGAAAAATACACATACTTTCATTAAAATCCTAAATGAGTACAAATAATTTATCTTCCTACTTAAAATACTTACAGATGTCAGATACACCAGGTTGAAGATCCTGAATCGGTGTACGATGAAGCCATGGAACTAATTGTCAGACTTGCGAATCATGGGCTGATTCATGGAGATTTCAATGAATTCAATCTCATTTTGGATAAAGATGACCACATCACCATGATTGATTTTCCACAGATGGTTTCAACTTCTCATCCCAATGCTGAATGGTATATACTGAAATTGATTGTGAATGTGGGTGTGTCTACATGTGATGATAACATTTTTATTTGTAATTTTCAATTTGTAATACTGCTATTTGGGTCAGTAACTGGTTGGAAGTGGCTGATGTCAGTGGTCTAAAATCTTGCAGTGTCTTTTTTTTTTAATTACATGAAACTACTAATTTTCCCTCTGAAAGAATTCCTCCGTATTTTAAAAGGGGAGAAAAATATACTTTCACCCAGTTTTTAAAACCTGTTCATTAAACATATCCTTTGTGTTGGACATCTAAAGATACCGCCCGCTTTTTGTAAACCATCAAAACAATTTGAATTAATTTTATACTCTGACAGACTTCCCAAAATCAAATTCTCTTAGCCATGGAATCCTTTATGCAAACATTGAGGTGGAAGCCCAGTTTTTCAACACACAAGAGCTTGCTCAGAAGTAGGGACAGAGAGGGGTACCCTAAAAGCCCATCCTCTCTGCCTGTCCGTCTTTTCTCTCCGTGGTTGCCGTCAGGGGGCTTCACCAAGCATAATTTGGTAAACCTGGTGGCCTTGATGGAAGTTAAGGGTTTGGACTAGACTAAGTTACCAGGGCAACAATATCTCTCACATCATTTTTAACTTCTCTTTTTAGAAAAGAATTCCCATAAAGCCTCATCCCTGACACAGGGCAGAAACACTTTATATACCATGATAATCTCTTCCTCACATTACTTAACCACTTAAACCAGCCAAGTTGTGAAATGCAACAGAATATTTTCCTTTATTTGTATTCCATGAGGAACTGAGTGTAATCAAATTAAGGGTGAGTGTTTTTAAAGAATATTTCCAACAAAACAATGCTAACAGATGAATCCCTGACACTTGGGCAGTTAATATGTCTTATGATGATGACTGATTACCATTTTTATTAAAATGATTAACATAGTCACACAATAAAGGAACAGCTAAGAACCACCAGAATTAGAGGCAGAAGTGATAGCAGATTACGACATTCAAGTTAAATATAATATGCATTATTCTTGAAGACATTGTGATTTAACTTGAACTTTTATGGGTAAATAAGTAATTGGGTGAAGGAGTTCTATTAAGCACGAGAAACTAAGATATAAATAAGACCTCTTTCTCCTTTGAAGAAGTTACTGTCTAGTTGGTGAGACATAAGCATGTATAAAAATATAATTTTAAAATAATTTGAGGTTTTTCCCAGAGTGCCCTAAGAGCATAGAATAGTGGCATTGTCGTCCTATCCTAAACTTCATCTTTCTCTAAAGTCATAATTTAGTTAAAATTTAAAGAGATAGTCAATTCCACGTCACCCTTAATTCTACCTGATTTGGAAACCCTCTAGAGAACTTAAACTGCTCTTACTGATTTATGGTGGCCTAAAAAGCAGCCAAATAATCAGTGGTGGTTCTGCTATCAGTTCATATTAACATGTCTTCAGGTTATTATTTATCAGCCCACAACATTATTTGTCTCTCTTGGAAGTTATGACAAGTCAGCTAACAGATAATAAGGATACATAAACATAATTCTAATTCTCAAACTTTTTCTTAGGAGTTACTATTTTTATCTTCGACTTTCTCAGTTGGCAAGGGGTTCAGCTGGGTGTAGCTGATGGGAAGTATAACCAGACGTACTAGAGACTGGAGGAAAATGGAAAGATGCTGCCCCCAAATTATGGGCCCATAGATTCATATTTATCTTATTTTCTCTTAGTATATATGTTGCATTAAGGGAAAACCTTGAGTTTTCTGACCATAGAACTATGTGCCTTTGACAGCTTATATTCCTTATTTTTTCCTCTGCTTTTATGGTCAGTATTTCAAACACACTATCAGAAGGTTGGTTTCTCTTTTTTTTCTTTTGTGTAATATCTTTTTTATGTAAGGAGTAAAAGTGTCTTATACTTAGGATATTGTCGTTGGCTAATAAGGAAAAAATGAACAACAAAGGCTATATCAGAAATGATTTTTTCTTTTGCAGGTATTTTGACAGAGATGTTAAATGTATTAGAGATTTCTTTATGAAACGTTTCAACTATGAAAGTGAGCTCTATCCAACATTTAGTGATATCAGGTTTGTACTCTGCTTAAAGTGATAGAACTGTTACTATCTGCTTTACTTAGTTCTAGAAGCTAACATATTTATCTAAAAAAATTTTCAGATGGTGAGTGACCTTTGACACATTGTAATCATTGAGTATTATAGCTGTTTGGTATATAAATGAAACTTAAAAACCTAAAAAATACCTTCTTTTCAGCTGTTAAAACAATGTTACTGAATTTGGTGGAAGAACACACCACTTTCTTACAGATTGGAAGAACTTTTATTCAATGTCAGATGCTCTGTGAATAATCCATTTGTAAGGAATCAAGCAAAGTGTTTATCAGAATTTGTGTTTTTACTTTTTCAGACTAGGAGCTGTCTTTACCTCATTAATGGAACCTAATTATTTATACATTCTCAAAACCAAATTTTCTCATTTATTTTATAAACTTAGTTCAAATACTGTTTTCTGGCTTGGGATGATTGACTTGAGTTAGAAGAAATCTTTAGTCCCCTTTGAAAGTAAATACCAACTGAAGTTTCTGTAACCTTTGTATTAATACTATTGGTCTTCACATTCATTTTATTGTAAATGACAAAGAGCGTATATCTTTTACATTTGTGTACTTAAGTAACTTAAGTATAACATTTCAGGCAAAGAAAAATCTTTAAAAAATATGCTGTTAAACTCACTTAAGAATTAATAATTTTCCGGAGTAGTAAATACTTATCCATGTCAGAAGGATTTTTTTCCACTCTGAATGCTTGGCATTTCTTTTCCTAGGAGGGAGGACTCTCTTGATGTTGAGGTTTCTGCCAGTGGCTACACAAAGGAAATGCAGGCAGATGATGAACTGCTTCATCCATTAGGTCCAGATGATACGTATGTTGAAACAGAGGAAGGATCTGACTTCTCCTTTTCTGATGAAGAGAGATCAGAAAAAGCAAAAGTTTGTAGATCAGAAAATCCATGCCAACAAAACTCTGCAAATGAGTCAATCGACTGCTGTCCCAGAGCACTTGGAGACCTTGAACGAGTAAAGGAAGACGCTTTGTCAGGCTGGAGTGCTGCTGCACACGATTTTGACATGACTGAATTCAGTCAAGCATTAGATGAAATAAAAGGGCAGGTTGTTGAAAACAGTTCTGTAACTGAGGTGTCTGGGGAGGAAAACAAAACCAAAAAGGACACCAGGCAAGACGGTGAGACAGGCCAAGGAGGAAACCGCAGGGGCTCTGAAGAGCCTGAAGATGAATGCCCTGAGCTCCTTGCCTTGTCGTCATTAAACAAAGAATTCAGGCCTTTCAGGTATAGATTCTGTTGATTTTTTTTACTTTAATGGGGAGACCTATACTGTCTTCGATTCTGGTAAATGAGTATTTTTTTTAAATGATATGACAGAGTTGTATTCTCTGCCATTATATGTAAAATGAAAGCAAATAACCCCTTTGTTAAAATCACAGCTAACCTTTACAATCGACCTTATTCTAGACAGCATATTGATTCAGTTTTAAGCAGTCTGCCTTAAGATACAAACTACTTTCAAAAAATTAATACAGATCTCTTATTCAGTTGATCATGATTTAGATGGATGGATTGTTTGTATATTTTCATAAGTATACATCTAATATTTGATTTATGTATAGTCCAGTAAATCTGTAGTAAATGTACTCTCCATGAAATTCAGTGAATTTTCTCTGGTGCTTTGAACCCTCTGTTCTTACTTACTTATGTAAAATTCTATAGTGTTGTTTTCCTTTTAAAAATTTTTTTCTTGAAAATATTAATCAGCTTCAGATCAAATTAGTAAATGATCTAAAATTTAACTTTTATATTTAGGATAGTTTATCCAGAATCAAACAACTGTAGTTTAATGAAATACAGGTTTATGTATTTCAAAAGAGTGATAGCACAAAATTAAATTAGTAACATTGATTAGGCATTTCTCAGTACATGTTCAGGCTTACATCCTAAGGCTCTCTTTGTCATTAGTTAATTGTGAAGCAAAACATGAGAATTTTGTTCCTTTTGCATATAACTATTCAAGACTCAAGGTCATTACCACTTTAATAATAAACATGTAAAGTTAAAATCAAGAGTGGCAGCTCGAGATTTTTGAGTAAAAGAAGGAAGTCTACATAGGTTCAATAGTCATCTAAGCACAGAGTAATTTGTTTTTACTCTCTAAACACATGTTGGGCAAAATTTTTATCGAAGTAGAAATACAACATTTCTGAAAAATACTAACTGTTAAGAATTAATATTGTCTGCGTTTCTTATACATTAAAACTTTGAGCAATGCCTAATATGAATTAGATAGTTTCTGTCACTGCAGTTTCTCTGTGTTAGCAGAGCATACTCTGGGGCACTCTCTCTTAACGTCTGCTTTCGTTTGGGAAAATGCCAAGAAACTGTCCCAAGGATTTAGATTGTAAGAGTCAGTTCAGTGAAAGAAGAGGGGAAAATACATGTATTGTGGCTAAGTGATAGCAAGTTTTGATGGCCAAAACATTTTACTATTTTGAAATTTTGATAGTGACTATCAGAATGCTGGAAAATGAAAATTGTTAATATATTAGGTTGAATTGTGGATGGTTGTACAGAAATCTTAAATATGATATTTCTGAGGCATTTTATGTCTTTAAGTTTTATTATCAAATAGAGATTAATATAAATTGACTCAATAATTAACTATAAAAATTAACTAGATAAATTGTTTTGTTTTAATTTTAGAGATGAAGAAAATATGGAAGATATTAATCGATATAGAACAAGAACTTTCAGTGTTACGTCTGCAGGCAGTATTTTAAGCTGTTCAACAATTCCTCCGGTAACCATTCAGCATTTACAAATGTGTATTAGGTCATTACTGTAGGCATCTTACATGTGAGGATTACTTGATGTACAAGACAGCCTCAGCCATTTGGATCTTACATGTTAATATATAAAATTATAATGAATACAAATTTAGTATAAGAGAGAGAGTTACTTTCAGCTGGCATAATCAAAGCTTTCAGGGAAAGGGTAGCATGTAAATTAGCTTGAGTTTGAAGGATAAGGTCATAGAAATTTAGATCCAAGGGGACCTTTATAGATTCGCAGATGGTCTAGTCCCTGCATTTTAACAGTGAGGAAATTGAGGCCCAGGTAGGTTACGTGACTTTATAAGTGACTATGTAGTTTACTGCACCTTAAGTGTGAAAATGACCCAGCCTCATTAGTTTGTTCTGAAATTTAAAAAGAGAAAAACAGGTAATTTTTAAATTTTTGGTATCTCAGGTGTTTGTTGGATATTTAGCAATATCCAGAAGAATTTCATAAGGGACGTTTTTTGGACAAGATAATGAGCACCAATAGTCCAGCTCATACTGCGGAACTTTTCTGCCTACCAGCCCTCTCTGGGCTATTCCAACAAGAATCAGTTTCCTTCATAGAGTTTAAGGACAGAGATAAAATTAATATATGGTGTGTTGGGTTTTTTCCTTCTGCTTAAAGGTATTAGGTTGAATACCATTGAAACTAGTTTTTAGTGATAAGTTAAAATGAGCAAAAGGAGAAAATCAGAAAGGAGGAAAATAACATTATGTGGAAAGTGAATTCAAAAGAATTTTGTGTTTTCCTGAACTTCCCATAAGTTGAGACAGATTGTCAGTAAGTTAAGAGGTATGTCCTGTGGTGGATTAATATGGGATATTTACAAAATTAAAACTCAATAATCAAAACAAGCTAAAAATACTAGTGCTTTATTTTATAACATAACACACTTTTAGTAGTTCAGGGACCTTTGCTTGATAATAGAAACCTTTAGAGCTTATCAGACCAAAAATAGAAGAGTGAAATTCTAGAAATGGATTGGTTTTGATATACTCTTTTCTCTTGATCTCATAATTTATCTGAATTTTGGACATAAAATTTAAATCTATATAATCTTTAAAATATCTATTGATTATACTGAAACAAAAATCTCCTTTTAAGTAGTACCACCTGTCTTTATTAAGAATTTCTCACACTCTATGGTTTCCTGTCCATTCTTGGCTTTGATATTTTTTATACTTAGATCTACCCTCCTTTCTTTGGTTTCTCAGATTCAAAGCATAGAGCTTTTATACCTAATTACTATGGTGTAAAATTGGTAATGTCATATAAAGAAAAGTTAGATTGCTCATTCATATTACTTTCTTAGATTCTAACTTATCCCTTGTATATAAAGATCATGGCACTAACATTGTTATGAGGTCTTGACTGTATCCCATTTTTCTTATTGCTAACAGCCTCTCTCTAATGAATTGTATCGTAAAATATAAGTTTGCCTCCTAAGGACAAAAAATGTGTCTGTAGCCTAGCTTGGTTTTTCTCTAATCTCTGAAACAAATCGATTATCTTAACTCTGTATTCTTATGGAGATTTGCTCATACTATTTTCCTTGAGGTCACATTTTATTTTATTAAAAAGGTCAGGAGAAAAACTTTATTTTGTTACCTCATTTATGTTGATGATTGTGCAAGGTAAAAGATTTTCTCTGTATTCTTTGATACTATTATTGTAAGACCCGTTTTCCTTATTAAAATAGTTCCCTGTTTATTAGCAGAGTTGCCGTTTATGTGCCCTGTGCTTTCTAATATGTAACAGTTAAATCATAATTAAATATTAAGGTATATTTTTAATAAATATACAGTCACTATCAACAACAAACATCAAACAGTACACATGATTTTCATTGATATTTTTAATAGGCTTCCTGAAATAATACATAGGTATTTTATTTCACGCTTTACTATTAAAAAAATACAAAGTGAGGTTTTTCTCACACTTTTAACATGAAGAATATTAATCTTGTAGGAATCAAAATAGGAATCATAAATTGTTCTGATTAGGAAGATGTACATGCATGATAATCCATCATCCTTTTCTTCAGCTATTTCATATGATTATCCTGAGGTCTCACTGAAATGAAGAACCAAGGGAAAATTCAAGCAGAATATTTGGGGGAAAATTGATTTTTTTTTTTCTTAGAAATATTCTGGAGCCTCTTTGAATTCCTCTTTTAAATGTGGTGTGTGGTCCTGGCTAGTGTGGCTCAGTTGGAACGTCGTCCCAAAACAGAAAGGTTGTGGGTTTGATTCCCAATGAGGGCACATACTTAGGTTGCAGGTTCGATCCCTAGTCCGAGCACATACAGGAGGCAGCCAAGGGATACTTCTCTCCCACACTGATGTTTCTCTCTCTCCTTCCCTCTCTCTAAAAGCAATGAAAAAAATGTCCTCAGGTGAAGATAAAAAAACAAACATGGTATACGCTCTACTGTTATTTTCCTGAGACCTTTCATCTCTTCTTCATTGGGTGCCTCCTTTCCTGATTCCTTTTCTTTCTTCCTACTTTACTCCTTTATTGGCAGTATAGATTTCAGTAGGAATTTGAGTGAATTTTGAGGAGACTTTTTATTAATAAAAATGTATTTTTATTCTATTCTCACAGTTAAGAGGGAGTTTAAGTAATGGAGTTGCAGTTTGGAAACAGTTTTCCTTTAGAATTCTGAAGGTGTTCACCTGTTGTCTTTGTGTGGTTAAGAAGATGGTGTCTCCAGGAGTCTGGTCTCCTGCCAGGGTGGGGAGGCTGACAGCTGCCTGGCTTCCTGGGGTAGGGAAGGTCCTGGAGGCCAGTCACACTTATTTTAAACTTTTAGCCAACCTCTCTTTAAGTTATAAAACTTCTGGGTTGCCAGGTCCTCCTAAGTTGCCAACTTTCCTAGTTTTGGGAGACGGCCATCAATGCATCTTTGTGCCTTGCATAGGGTGAGGCATGTTAAGAAGAAACCCATGCTTCAGCACTTAACGTGTTCATCTTCTTTTTTTAGGAGGCCACTAGGATGGTGCAAGGTTATACACAATTAAACAACAGACTGTAGTGCTTCACAGGAAAAAAATGTTATTGTGAACTGAATATTCAAACATTTTATGTCTTGGTAGTTATGGACAGTCTGTGTCCTAAGTAATGAGAGATCAGTTGAGTTTATGATCTTTCACTGTGAGAAAGCATTCTGCATCTCCCAAAAACTGTATGAACTTTTCTGTGGGTAACTGCTGCCGTCAGGTCATTTCTGCACTGAAGTTAGGAAGGACCTATTTACCAGTAGTGAAAGCTTTCAAACGATTTTGTACAAAGACCTGCCTATTATGACATAGAAAACAGGAATGAGCAGTTTTTTTCCTGTTGGTTTTGATTTTGTTGGTTTGGTGATTGGGGGGAGGTTCTTGCTTTCTTTAAGTTTTCCCAGTGGACACTAGGTGGCACTATGTTGATTGGTTATGCAAAGAATTTTAATTATACTTTTCGCCATCATCTATATTTCTTTTAGAAATATAATTTATAACAGTTTTAGGTTTTATTGCTGATTCATATAGTACTGCTGTTAGTATTTGGAATTTTAAAAATACTTGTTCTTAACAGAAATTTGAAAAATGTTAGTGTCAATATTTCTATTATGAACTATTCACTTGATCAAAATGATCAGTCATCGATGATACTAATTATTGAAATCTTTCCAGGAATTGGTGAAACAGAAGGTGAAACGTCAGTTGACAAAACAACAAAAATCAGCTGTGAGACGTCGATTGCAAAAAGGAGAAGCAAATATATTTACCAAGCAACGGAGAGAAAACATGCAAAATATTAAGTCAAGCTTGGAAGCAGCTAGCTTTTGGGGAGAGTAATGTATTTAGGGACATTTACACAATGGAATACTATTCAGCCATAAAAAAGAAGGAAACTTTACCCTTTGCAACAGCATGGATGGACCTGGAGAACATTATGTCAACTGAAGTAAGCTAGTCAGAGAAAGAAAAATACCATATGATTTCACTCATATGTGGAATCTAATGAACAAACTGAATTAACAGGCAAAGTAGAGACAGACTCAGATAGCGAGCAGGATGACCGCCCCGGGGGTGGGGGTCAGGGGTTGGAGGGATCAAGGGAAAAGGAAAAGGACTCGTGGACACAGACAACAGTGGTGGGAGGGAGATATAAGGGGGATAAATGGTAATGGAAAAAATTACAATAAAAAAAATAAAGATCCTGAATATTTTTCAGAAAGTTACTATAATTTCTTTTTAAGCCACCTTTAGTCTTTTTTTGGACTAATGCAGGCAGATAGACAAATAGACAAACTTTCATCTACAAATTTGACAATACATATTTTCTAAAGAACAATTATAGTAATTTTACTAAGGCAATCCAATTTTCCAAATAACTGTTATCACTGGTACATCAGCTTAAATCTATTTTTCAGAGCAATTTTATTAGGAATATTTCAGTATTTTTAAAAATCTCAATGTAGTACTTTTTGGCTTTTGTTCTCTACCAAAAATAGGTAGATTGCTTGGTTTCAAATCCTAGTTTTCTACTGCCAGTGTAAATAACCTTGGGCAAGTCGTATTTTTCTCCTTCACCACATCAGATTTTCTTACTGTTAAAATTGGATTTACAACCACTTTGTAGGGTGGTTTTGAGAGCTGCATGAGGCAATACACAGAAAGCACTTTATATGCTTTCAGTAAAGTGTAGATGGGTGAATGATCATTTGAATATTTTTCTGAAATGCTGCTTAATAACTTGATTGCAATTTACTTAACCACTGAAAGAATTCACTGCTTTTTTCTCTAGTATTAAGAATAAGCCAATAATGCATTATTTTATTTTCTGCTGTTTAAATTGTTAATGTAGTCATGGGAATAGAAACTTGAAATAGTCCCCCCAGGCTTTACTTTGCACAGTTGCCAGTTTTTATGGAGGCAGGGGTGGAAGAGTTGGGGGGTGGGGAGTAAAGGGGAGGGGAGGAGTGAAAAAGTAATATTCCTAGGGTGGGTCCGAAACATGTTTCTCTTCAACATTAACAGATACTGCGTGTAGGAAAGAAAGTAAATACGTAAGACATGGTTCCGCACTCAAAGACTATGATCCATTGAGATGTGGAGATGGGCGCTAAAGGGTATGTACCTGACTATATTCAAGTCCCTTTAGCATCGCCCAGGCCAGAGCACCACCTGCAGCAGAAAAAGACCACTAGATGGCAATGTCACTGCACAGTGACTGGACAGGATGTCTTCAAGTTAGATCTGTGAGTGTGATCTACCAGAGGCAGGAACAGCGATTTTTTTCCCCAAGATTGATAAAGATAGCAGATCCCTTTCACCTTTGCAAAATTAATTTTACTGGCTATTTGCAGGCCCATCACTAACTCACTTTAATATTGCAAGAAAATCTAATTTCCTTGAAAGTTTAATTTTGAAAGTGCATAGCTTTGAATTTAAATTTATCTATTTTTTATAATCTGTCTAAAGCATTTTTAACAACAATACTGTCAGCTTAATAGGATCACAATGTTTATTTCAGAATACATTTTCTGAAATTCAGAATCTCATCCTACTCATTTGACTCAGCGCACTTTTGGGTACCTACTATTATAAAATGACTATTTGAGGAACTTAGAGGGCAAATAGGCATAGTTCTTACTATCTTAAGGTTTCCTGTAGGTCACAACAAATAAGTGCATAAATCTAAAATTACTCAGGGTTCAGTCACAACAATTATTTTTAAAAGATGTGAGTAGCTACCAATTAGAAATTTGTTTGCCTTAGGATATAGTCAGTTTCACATTTTTAAATATCTGTAGTGAACACTGAGCGAAAACAAATTAAGTATACTCTTAATGCAGTATTGTGACTTGAAATGTTTTTTGAGTCTGGGAGTTCTAAATTTAACTTCTGGTTCTACTACTTCCCAAACCTCAGGTACTTTTTGTAAACTCTCTAACCTCACTTTTTGATGTGTAAAGTGACATTTAAAAGTGCCTCAGGATTGTGAAGATTAAGTGAGATAACACCAGTAAGGAGCTTAGCACAGTTCCCGATACATAACGCATGTTTAATACCGTTCAAATACCTTAAGGTTACTCAAAGGAAGATTCCAAGGAATCTTTACTGTTTTCAAGGTCACTGATTTCAACTATGATTCTTCTGGTGTTCTGTTTTTATCAAGCCACACATATGCTTTGCTTGTAGCCTTGCATCCATGTACTTGCTATTTCCATAGATAAGTTTTTGCTACAGGACCTGGTATTGGTAATCACTGTTCTGCTCTTTACTGCACAGCAGGCTTTCCCAGAACCATAAAGATCTTTCAAATGTATTAACGAGAAGGTTAGTGCAGCTGACAGTCATTCTTTTAGTCAAGTACTCAGTAAATTTTCTGGCAAAAAACAGTTGCCTAATTAAAGGACTCACCAGGTAAACTTGCTGCCTTACAGGTTTATCAGCCACTTGCATAGGATAGAAGGATGAATTAAGTTCTCAGGAGAGCACTTCCTGAGGTATAAGTTCATTTCATGTCACAGTTTCAATACTTTGGGTGGACTAAGGCTCACCATCATTTTTCCCTCTCTCCTCAGAACATCTCCCTAGAGAACATCAGGCCATATCTTATTTTCACCTTGATTTGCTTAATGAAATAGTGGCAACCACCTTATGCTACTCTGTAAGGCTGGGGATGAGGTAAAGTTCAGAATAGCCATGAGCTAACACTTGTGTGATAACCAGGAGTGTGGAAATAACTCCAAACCCTACAACACTCTCAAAGACTAATATTATTAACTTTTTTTTTAAAAGTAAGTTTTACTTCCAGTCAGGATGGTGGCATAAATAAACATGGCTTGCCTCCTTGCACAAACACTTTGAAATTACAACAAAAATATGGAACAACCATCACTCAGAACCACCAGAAATTGAGTTGAATGGAAGTCTGACAACTACAGACTTAAAGAAACCACATTCATCCAGGCTGGTAGGAGGGGAGAAGACAGAGAACAGGCTGGCCCTACATCTACATGTAGTGGATAAAAATTCAGGAGGGATATCTTAGCAATAAGGAGCCCCAGCCCCACACCAGACCCCAGGATTACAGTGCCAGGAAGATAAGGTCCCAAACATCTGGCTGCAAAAACCAGTGGCGATTGAGTTGGTGGGGAAACTTCTAGTGTCCCAAGCAATGCCCCTTTAAGAACCCACTCACAGACTAACTGAAGGACCACAATAGCAGCTTGAAAGGCACCAGTGGCGTACAGAAGGGAACCAAAGTGTTTGGCATCAAGGTGGAAGCTGGAAGACAGCTTTCTCCCAGACAGAAAGGCAGGCAAAAGCCATTGTCCCTTTTCCGAGCCCTCCCCTTGCAGAGCCACAGAGCCAGCAGGCTGGTGCCATATCGGAGACTCCATAGCCCTGGCTAACACTGCTTCACCCTAGAGATCCCCTGAGACTCTGTCCCACCCCAACTTGTAGGCCCACGCAAGCTGTTAACTGTGACTTTTCCATATGAAGGGTGGGTCTTGGTTCATTCTTCATAACATCCTAAACCCTATCAAAAAACAACCAGGCCACTCCCCTCTACAGTACCTCTTGCTAACTGGTTGTAGGCCTGGCCCTAGCAGCAGCCAGCCTAGATTCACAGCTTGGCCGCACCTGGGAATCTCTAAGCCCAGCACAAGTGCAGCCATCTCAAATTGTTTTATAGTTTATGCAGTGACCCTAGGCAGAACACAGGTCGGGGCTAACCTTGGCCTGCACCACCTGGGAAACCCCAGAGCCTGCACACCCAGCAGACAGCAATTGACTGCATCAGAGCACACCACCCTGCTCCTGCACAGCTGATCTCCACAGAGAGTGGAGGTTGGTGGTCAGGGGTTACAGCTAGGCCTTGCAGCTGAGTGGCCTGGGTAAATCCCTCCCATTTATCTGCCAACAGCAATCCAGTCTCAACCATAAGAAGAGGGTATACTCAGCCCACATGGAAGGTGCACCTTGAGTACCCAGCTTGAGTGATAGGGGAGGCTGTGCCACTGGACCCTACAGGACACCTACTACATTAGTCCACGCTACCAAGACACAGAGTCAAAGCAGCTCTACCTAATACATAGAAACAAACACAGGGAGGCTGCCAAAATGAGGAGACAAAGAAATAGGACCCAAATGAAAGAACAGATCAAAACCCCCGAAAAAGAGCTAAATGAAATGGAGATAAATAATCTATCAGATGCAGAGTTCCAAAATACTGGTTATAGGGATGCTCAAGGTACTTAGTGAGGAACCTCAACAGCATAAAAAAGATCCCGTCAGAAATGAAGGATACGCTAATTGAAATAAAGAACGATTTATAGGGAAACAACAGTAGAGTGGATGAAACTAAGAAGCAAATCAATGATATGGAACATAAGGAAGCGAAAAACAACCAATCAGAACAAGAAGAAGAAAGAATCCCAAAAAACAAGGATAATGTAAGGAGCCTCTGGGACAGCTTCAAGTATTCCAAGATTCATATTGTAGAGGAGCCAGAAGGAGAAGAGAAAGAGCAAGAGATTGGAAATCTGTTTGAAAAAATAATGAAAGAAATCTTACCTAATTTGGTGAAAGAAATAGACATGCAAGTCTAGGAAGCACAGAGAGTCCCAAACAAGATGGATGCAAATAGACCCACTCCAACAAAACATCGTAATTAAAATGTCAAAGTTTAATGATGAACAGAGAATCTTAAAAACAGCAAGAGAAAAGCAGTTAGTTACCTATCGGGGAGTTCCCATAAGACTATTAGCTACTTTCTCAAAAAAAGTTTGCAGGCTAGAAGGGATTGGCAAGAAATATTCAAACTCAGAAGGAAAGCAGACACATACAGCTAAGCTTTCCCTAGCCAGCAAAGCTATCATTTAGAATCAAAGGGCACATAAAGCACTCCCCAGACAAGAAAAAACTAAAGGAGTTCATCATCACCTAACTATTATTATATGAAATGTTAAAGGGACTTATTTAAGAAAAAGATCAAAACTATGAAGAATTAAATAACAAG